CACACCTGGTGTGAATCAGGACTGAGTTGGACTACTGGCCATCCTGCTAAAAAATTTGCTGGCAAAGGAGAGGGGGGAAATGAGTGTAGTCTATAGCATTTTGCTTATCAGTTAGTTGGTTAATCTACTACTATTACATCCCTAGTGGGGACTGATGCCTGAATCTTCCTGAGCCCAACTGCCCTGGGTGGGAGGGCCAAAGCCAAGCCTCCAATGCCCTAGGCTGAAGGGAGGGGGACAAAGCTCAAGCCTCAGGCAGGGAGCTGTAATCTGAGAACTACTGCCCAAGGTTGAAGCTCTTGGGTTTCTGCTGCAGCTCTGGGTGGTGGGGCTGGTGCGTTGGTTTGGGCCCCAGCAAGTCAAAGCCAGTCCTGTTGACCTAATTAAAACCAGGTCATAACCCACAGTCTGAGAACTGCTGTCCTAGAAGGTCTCCTAACTGACTTGCTCTGACTCTACTTAGCTTGAGGTTTCTAGGATCATAGCACAGGGGGACATCGTTGCAAGCTCTGTGGATGAGTAACTGCTTCAATACAAGTGAGTGGATCACACCTTGGTGAGCATCTCACAAAGCATAAGAAATTGTCTCTATTTCAGAGCAAGAGGGGATGAGTTTTATCAATGAGGCATTTAAGGCAAATTATTTGTCCAAGTATTTTTTCTTCGTTGGCTTTTGTTTCAAAACTACATCTTCATGGCCAGGAGTTGAGGCTTTGTTTACACTGGAAAGTTTAAAGCACAGCCGCAGCAGCACTTGAATGCCGCAGTGTGGTCACTACAAGTGTGCTGGGACAGAGGTCTCCCAGCTCTCTAGGTAGACCACCTTCACCAGAGGAGTAATTAACTGCTCTGGGAGCATGGCTTCTAGCACTGTAGCTCAGTTTACAGCATTGTAAGGTGCTGTGTTCAGGGGGTTGTTTTTTCACACCCGTGAGCCAGAAAGTTGAAGTGCGGTAAAGTGGCAGTGTAGACTTAGCCTGAGTAAATACTGCAACATAGAAAGGACACCTATACGTTTATCATATATTTGTGCTACCATAATACATAGGACTGCTTGTTATGGACCAGACCCCATTGTACTAGGTGCTGTAATATTCACTTGTATTTTAAATGTCATTGTGCCATTTGTACTCTCTATAATTCAGTTGGAGGAGCTGAATTGTTTTGACTTGTTACTTTTGTATTCCAGGCCACAGCAATGGACCAGCTGGTTGGATTTGGCTTGGTAGCCTTTAGCCTTGTTCTTTTTGTTTACTACACCATCTGGATTATTATACTGGTATGGATTCCTGCATGCACTCTGGTTATTGCAGTCTCAATGGCTTCACTGTTGTGTTTCTTTTAGACTTTTGTTAGACCTGTTTGTCTAGCTTTATGCTCACTGTAAAACCGTTACTATAAACTCCTTCTTGCTCACTCATCCCTTCAAACACTTGATCTTCTGAACCTTGACCAAAGCTGAACCCCAAAGAATTACCTGTATCAGTGTGCTTTGATGGGGTAGGTGTGGTGATCTGAATAAAGTTATAACTGCAGTGTTCCACCCCTTTGAACCTTCACCCAAAACTCAAACTCAGAATAATTCTGGGGTTTTCAAAAAAGTCTCCTTAGTGTTCACTTCCATGCTGTGGGCAGAACAGTCTTGCTCTTGCTACATTTCAAAGGCAAAAGTGCCACCAGTTCCCCGCTGCACCCCTGTCCCCTCTTCCCATGGAGATTGTGCTGGGGGGAACCAGGTTTTAAGCCGGTTCCCCCCAGCACCGTATCCTGCTCCCCACCCCTTGCTGACTCTCTCTGATAGCGGCAGCAAGGGGGGAGGGGAAGCTACTAGTTGAGTCACTAGTCAACTATCCGATAAGGATTTCCTTATCGGATGGTCTACTAGTAGACTAGTTGCTTACATCCCTGGTTGGTATGTTCCTGTTATTTCTAGTGAGTGTGTTGGTACAGGTTGCACCTCTGAAAACCAGCGTTCTCTGGTCCCGCAATATCTGTGGTCCAGCAAGACAGCAGATGCTCCTGGACCAGAGAGCTCGGGAGCTTAATGGAAAGAGGGCCAGCAGCCCCCCCGGGGACAATGGGACCAGAGGACCCCACAGCAGTGCTGGGCCAGGAACTAAAGAATCCTGGCAGCCTGCGGCAGTGCGGAACCAGGCACTGGGGAATTTTAGTTGCCCGCAGCAGCGCGCGGTTGAGGGCTGGAGAAGCCTGGCTCCCTGTGGCAGCATGGAGCTGGAGAGCCCTGACAGCCAGCAGCTGTGCGGGGTCAGGAACCAGAGAAGTCCAGCTGCTGGTTGCAGCGCAGGGCTGGGGAAATGTGACCGCATGTGCCAGCGCCAGAAAACCCTGGCCACCAAAGGCAGCCTGGGGATGGTGCCGGCAGCAGCAAAGAGGGTAGATGGGGCCAGCTAACTCGGGGCTCATGGAAGGGCAGACTTCCCCTGGTCCAGCAAATTCTGTCGATCCCCTGCCAGACCAGGAGGTCCAACCTGTACCAAGATGTCTCCTAATGAGGTGTTCTGTTACCATCCTTCTGGACTGTGTTAATGGCTGGTGCCTACTTTCTCTTAGATATGAGTGTTTCTGCAATATCAGTCCTGTTCTTGTCAAGTTCTGTGAGCAGGGCCTGCCACTTGCTTACAACTTAACTTTGCTTGACCATTGTTGCCTAGGCCCCACACCAAGCCTTTGATGGGCTACGTTTTAGGCCCTCTTCTTATTACACATGTCTCATCTGTTTCCTGATTCTCAAGGGAAGTGGCAGAAATGAAATGCGATGAGAGTCCATTCTTGTGGGGTCTTCCGCCCACAGGAAGCAGGAAGAATAGGAAATCTTCTAGAAAAGCATCCTATTTTTTTTAAGCTTTTTGAGTCAGTTTCTCAGACTCGGGAGATTTGTTAAAGCTTTAGATTGGCTTCTGAATCCCTAGTAGCTTCCACTTCCAGCTCTGAACGTTTTGGGTTCCCCCTCTAAATTAAAAAATTGATTGTTCTGCTATTACAAACCCTATTTTGAAGGGGTTGGCAATAAAGATGTTAAATTTCTATTAATTAACAAATGGAATAGTCGATGGGATTTCCATCGACTGTTCGAATAATTGATAAGAAGTTCCATGTTCTGCCTTTGAACTCCCTGCTGGCCCCCAGCTCCACGCCACATTCCAACTTTGAAATGTACAAGAGCCCTACTGGAGACTCTTGTACATTTCAAAGTTGGCTGCCGCTGCACCCTGGCCCCCTCTCATGGAGCTGGGGGGAACGGGCTTTTAAGCCGGCTCCCTCCAGCCCCCTTTTCCTTCTCCCCCCCTTGCTGCCTCTTTGTGATAGAGGCAGCAAGGAGGGAAGTGATTAGTAGACTAATGTGCTGCCTATCCAATGAGTTTTTGCTTATCAGATGGTCAACTAGTCGATTAGTCGCTTACGTCCCTAGTTGGCAATCTACAGCACGTGTGCCATAAGTGGTATGTGAGCCAATTTTAAGTGGCACATGGGGCAGGAGCTCAGTCCTGCCCCTCCTCCCCTGCGCAGCCTCAAGAGCCCTCCCACTTCCCTGCAGCAGGTTAGGCTGGGGGGGGTGAAGGCAGTGCTGGAGCTCCTCTGAGGCCAACCTGGGATCGTGTGGCTGCAGCAGCAGTACCTCCGGCTTCCGACCGCCCCAGAGGTGCCACTGCTAGAGGAGAAGCTAATGGCAGAGGAGAGGGAGGATTGTAGGGTGAGACAGGCTGTATGGGCAGCGAGAACTTTGTGATGCCGGTGTCAGAGGGAAGCGGTGGGTGTTCAATCTTGACTGTAGTTCTGCTCCTTGGAGTAATGATGCGCTCGTGTCTCTGCTTATACCAGTGGGGATGTTGATGGTTTATTACTGCTTCGGGGAGACTGTTCTTTGTCCCTCTGCCCGTGGAAATGGAACGTCAGTCTGTGGGTTGGAGGAGGATTGTCTGTCGCACCCTATAGTAATGGTGCTCTGCAGCTGCATAACAGTCTGGATAAAGTTTAACCTTGTGCCAACACTGACCTGCACAAGGCCCAAGTGAGGTGGGCCGTCCCTGAACTTCAGTCCTCCCTGTTCCTTCCCCTCACCCCAGGGGTCCGGAGCACTGGAGGAGTGAGGTGTCTCAGTTGGGGGCCACATCAGTGAGGGTTGGGGAGTTCGGAGGAGTTTTTTTGCTTCTCACTTGTGTGGTCCCCAGCTGATTTTCCTGTGGGTCAGTGACCCCTGTCCCAAAAAAGGTTCCCCACCCTTGCCATAAATAAAGGAAACATTGAAACCTTTTGTGTTGAACATATTTTACTTTATTTAAAATGAAGTTTGATAAACTAACATGAGAGAGTTAAAACGCTTAATCTGTTTAATAATTTAAGTAAAACTGTTCTCCCTAGCTGCAGCTGGTTCAGAAAATATGGTCACTGTACCCCAGCACACAGATCCGTGAATAAGTTAAAACTTGGCATGCCAATTCTGAAAGGTTGCCAACCCTTGCTATATTGTTTGTACACTCTCTGAGTGCTCTATAAAGATTTATGGGAAGCAGTAGGCGTAAAGTGTTCTGCGGTGTTTATCTACACCTGCAACATCTCTGTGGAGTAAATATTATCATGACTCTCCAAGAAAGGGATGCGATATCCTCCTGGGGGATAAGTCATTTGTTCAGTCCCAGGCAGTGAGGAAGTGTGAATTAGAACCTGAGTCTTTTACCCCATATGCATAAGCCACTAGATAGCGGCACTTCTGTCCTTTCAAGGTGTCACATGCTTGCTACACTACCATGGACTGTTGCACTTGTTCAGCTGCCTTTCACTTACTGCATTGTCTGTCTGCAGCGGTAGCTCAAGTACCTACTGCTCTCTAGTTCTCGTTTCTTGGGGTTAGTTTTCAAGCCTCAGGTTAATCATAGCTCTTGAGGTCGACTGTCCTGGCATTACAGCCACAAAGCTCTGGGTGCTGGAGAGTTGTCTTTGTATTGCCCAACTTAGTGGTGCCCTTCACTTTTGTTTCCTGCAGCCCTTTATTGACAGTGATCATGGGATTCACAAATTCTTTTTGCCCCGGGAGTATTCGGTGACCATTCCTGTGATCGCAGGGCTCCTTCTGGTGCTGTGTGTAGGTGAGTCACATTTCTATCTTATTCTAATCTCTTTAAAGGTTGGACACCCATGTTCCATCTTATTTGGCACAGTGAACTGCCAGTATTTAAGGCTCGTGTGTTGTGAGCTTCCTCACAACAGTGCCCTGCCTGTGACTGTGGGCTCCTGCACATTGGAAATCTCTCTCTTCTGTGATGCGGTTCCGTTTCTCACGGCAGTGTGTTTAAAAAGCTACAGCAGCTACGGGTTTTATGTTTTACTCAGTCTCTCCCTCTTTCCCGTATTAGGGATTTTTGTAGTGATTGTGATGTGGAAGAACAGGAAACCTGCAAAGAAATTAGACTGAGGACAGCAGAATGGGAGAGGCGGGGAGAAGGTGCCTGCCTGCAGCATCTCAACAGGGACGAGATATTTATCTGCAGAAACAAGAGACACTCTGCTCTCGGACTCTGTTACGTGCTTGAAAGAACGTTGGACCTCACTGCGCCTTCTTTCCATGACTCCTGAGACTTGTATCCAGCTACAGTTTAGTGCTCAAAGGGAAGTGAAACTGTCTGACCCACAGAACTTCTCTAGCGAGAGACCAGAACACCAGCCCTTATGAACCTGGACCAAGATAGGGATAATCCCAGCAAACTGATGCATGTGGTTTTGGACTCCACAGTCTTTGTGACATTGTTCTGGCACCAGGCAGTGCTACTGAGCAAAGGGCCCAGACTTCAGTGACGTTCCTGCTCTGCAGCAGGCACCTTTTTTAGTTCTGTTGGTTTGTTTCTGTCATTTTTAAACTGGTTACTGGAGGGGGAGAGGTGTTAATGGATCCAGCATGTGAAAAAACAAGATCATGGATAAAATCAAATGCTCTTCTTGAAGGATCAAAGACAGGTGAGGGAGGGAGCCCCCTGTCCCCATTTACCTACTAGAGGGGTGGTGAACCATCAGCATTACTACCAAGGGTGTCACATTCCACGTGCTCTTATGCATGCTTATGCTTTCTCTCTCTGTCTGAGATCGGGGAATGTGGCCTCTGGATCTTGCATTGCATGTTCTGGGGAAGCCACAAGCTCTGTATCCTCCTTACCGGCTCTCAGTGCTGAGGAGGTAATAGAGAGGTGAGGTTCTCTGCTGTTGTACAGAAGATGTTCTGTTCTCCATGCTGTTCCATTATCCGCCGTGTGTGCCATTGTTCTCGATGCTGTTCCATTATCCGCCGTGTGTGCTGAATGGGACTAGAGAAGAAAGTCACATTCTGCTAGACAGTGCCTGAGAATGGAGGGGAGAGATGCTCAGATGCTGTCCTGATAAATGTGGTCTAATGAAGCCACTGGCTTTGCTTGATACTTATGAGTAACTTTCCACATTCCTAGTGGCCATAGGGCTGTGAGGAAGAAGAGGATGCCCGCTGGGCAAGGCTGAAGTCACAGGATGTTTTCACTCTTTAGTATGGTGTCTGTTAATAGGTGAAGAACTGGAGTCTCTCTCAAAATATCTGCGGTGTCTCTGACTGTTCTTCCTCCTCCTTGTGGGTGGAGGGTTGGGAGAAATGACACTAGAGCAATGAATCAGAACACACAGCCGGCATGTAACCTTGCAAGTGTAACCCACAGACCTACTGTGGTTCACTGTCCCATGAAGTGGCACTTAGACCACTACAGTGAGAGATAAGAACAAGGGTGCTCTACAGCCTAAGCTGAGAGTCAGTTGGCTTTATAGCTCAAGCTGTAGAGGCTGCTACACTGAGGTCCCAGATTCAAATCGGTTTTCCAGGCAGTTACACAAGCACTGTGCAGTCTCTCTGAAAGGTCCTGTTGGGGGTGACACTGGTTCTCCTTCCTGGCCTCATTCTGCTGTTGTTTCCTGTATTCTGCTATGATTGCTGCAGACCAGAGAGTTAGGTATATGATATGGAAACTGTTCTGGAGTAGGGATCAGGCACGAGGTCATGGGGCGGCCTGTTATGATGAGGATGTGACATGTAGCTTTTTCTGGGATAAATTAAAGTGCAGCAATAACATAACCAAAGCTCGGGTCCAGGGGTTTAGATGCTTCATAGCATTTCCAATTTTCCTAACCAGTCTGCTAATACTGCCTTGAGATATCTGCATGGGAATGCCATCAATGCAGGGTTCTTGTCCCTGCCGCAGTGGTAAGAAGTGCCTGGTGTCATTTCCCCTGCCTAAGAGGGACCTGTTAGCTGGAGCAGCTCTTAGCACCTCTCCAGGGAGCCTCTCTGCAGTGTTGTGCCAGAGCCTGTAAGAGAATTAAACAGCCAAGAAGGAAACCTCGTAGCAAGAGACAAATGGTAAAATGCCAGAGTGGGGCCCAGGGCACAAAGCTCCAAGGAGAGTCTCTGCCAGTTGCCAAACCCAAATAGTTATGAACCATCTCACTAACTTGTCTGTGACAGTAAAGGCCTGGTGTGCACATACTGCTGGGACTCCATTAAACTGAAAAAGGAGGGGCACTTTAGGGATCATCTGACATTCCCCTGTAGTACTGATTGAACCTCTCTAGTCCAGCACCTTTGAGACCAGACTGGTGCTGAACCAGGGGAGATCCATGTTGTCTAGCAGCATTACCAACACTTCTGCTGCTTACTGGGTTGTTAGAAAACATGTAGGGGCCAACTAGAACTAAGTAACAGCACAGAACACAGAGCCAGGGCTGGTGGCTGTAAGCAAAGTTGGGACACCTGGCTAACTACAATCATGCCAGACCAGAGAGTGCCAGAGTGGAGAGGTTCAACCTGTACAATGATTTTCAATAGCTACTCTTCACCTGCTCCCCAGTGGGCAGTGCAGAAAGTTGCTCCTAGCAAAGCTCTGGGCTGCCCATGTGCTCAGAGGCTCAGGTTTGATAGACGATTGCTTCTAGCTCCCCATAGGTGACAGCACCTCTGCTCTGGGAGGCCAAAAGTGGCTCCTTAATCTTTCTTCTGTTTTCAACCTGTACAATGATTTTCAATAGCTACTCTTCACCTGCTCCCCAGTGGGCAGTGCAGAAAGTTGCTCCTAGCAAAGCTCTGGGCTGCCCATGTGCTCAGAGGCTCAGGTTTGATAGACGATTGCTTCTAGCTCCCCATAGGTGACAGCACCTCTGCTCTGGGAGGCCAAAAGTGGCTCCTTAATCTTTCTTCTGTTCCACTTAGCAAGATGCCAGCCAGGACATTTCTATTTAGAGCTCTGAGGCAAAGGTGCCCTTGCTGCACTGTGCACCTGCTCTGCTGCCAATACCCTCCCCCTTACTGGGGTTGCCAGATGGTTTCAACAAAAATACCAGACGCAGTTGACATTACATCCCAATCTACATCACATCTGATTTAGAAAATACCGGATGTTTATATTTTCTCAATTTGTTTCCTGAACAGAAAGCTCAAATACTGGACTGTCCAGTTCAAAATCGGAGACCTGGCAACCCTACCCCTTGTCAGCCACCCTTCCCGCTGCTAAATGAGCAGCGTCAGAGCCGGGGGGAGGGGGATGGTGGCTAGTCTGAAATCCTGCTTTCTTCCTCCACCACCAATTGCTGCAGCTCTGTTGCTTCCCACTCTCAGAAACTCTCCAGCTGTGCTTCTCAGTCTCCTCAGTGCTTGGAAATACAAGAAATAGCAGCAGCTCCCGTGAGCATGAGGTCACTCCATCACATGGGCGCTTTGGGGAAAGAAGGAAGCAAAAAGCCACATCTCTTAGCAACTCTGGGCATCTTCCCTAGTCTGCCAGCCCTGGAGCTGCTGCTGCTGCTTCAGTTCTCCCCTCTGCCTTCAGTGATCTGCTGCCTCCAGATTCCTCTCCCTGTGTCTTCTAACCCCAGCTGCCTGGGGATGCTGCTGAAATAATCCCAGGGATTCTGCTTCTGTCCCTGGAACAAGCTCAGGGATTCTCCCCCAGACATTTTCATGGGAAAGGCTCATCAGTGAGGGTAAGTATGAACCGTGTGTGTGTGAATGGGCCTGGTGAGGAGGAGAGGGATGGTAGGAGGCAGCCTGTCCTGGCAGAATGAGCATGGGGCCCACAGCCAGAGACTTAACATTTATTTGGGCATAAACTGGTCTTTGCCCAAGAAGCTTTTCAGCCCAAATAAATCTGCAAATCTTTAGGTGCCACAGGGCTCTATGTTTTTGCAGATACACACCAACAGGACCACCCCTCTGAGACCAGCCAGAGGCTGCTGCTTTCCAGCGAGTAGTCCTGTTCAGTGTGAAATGGCACAGTTGATGGGGATTCTCTGCTCTCTTCCCAGGAGCCTACTGCCTTCTGCTCCCCCTGGAGTACTTCTGCCTGTGTCTCCACCAATTTACTCTGGCACAATGTGTTTAAAAAAGAAACCCTGTTGCTCGCCAAAAGGGAAGGCGGTTTTACCCTGCAGGGATGAAGTTCACCTTGGATGAAGTGTCTGCTCCCTCCTCAAGCAGGAAGGAGTCTGCCATGCTGGGGGCCGCCAATTACCCTGGGGGTTGGAAAGAGCAAAGCCCGTCAGTTGAGCTTTAGTCATGGCAATGTTAACACACTCGCTTTCGGAGAGCAGCTGAAGAAATGTACATCCATGGCCACTGAGCAAGCCCCTCTCCCCTGCTCTGTCCTAGTCATGTGCTCTCTGGGTGTGGCTGTGTGAAAAGGAAGATGAGGGTCTGGATCCCTTGTTGCCTGTTGCTTTCCTGCTTACCCTTTTCTTTCTGACCCTTCCTGCTAGGCTGTGACCAGGCTCAGGCTGCTTGGTTCAACTCTAGCTTGTCTTGGGACTTCCCCTGCAAGAGGCTAAGCAGGGATATGAAGTAGATGGAGCCTCAGTGCCCAGCAGAGGGAGAACTGCCTGGGAAGAATTCTGTTGTGTTTATTGCAGTGGAATAAGTGGTCTCAGAAAGTCAAAGGAGTTAGTGTGACCCTATTACTAACTAGCACTACTTAGTTAAATGTGGTCTCTGTTTCAAGTACAGAGACCTTGATTTGTTTAGTCCCATGACAAACATCCTTAAAAAAGGATATCCAAGTTTGCAGGTGCATTCATTGGAACACAGAAGTGAAAAAGGATGGAGAACAAAACACAAAGTATTTTCAAGGCAAAAAGCCAAACAATCCAAACTTAACTCAGTCCCTTTTTCAGTGAGGTTATGTCTACACTGCCCCCATTTTGTGCAAAAAATATGCAAATGAGGCAAAGCATGGAATATTGCCATGCCTGATTTGCATAATTAATGAGGCTCCGTTTTTGCGCAAGAGCTGTTCTTCCTGAAAAAAATGTGGAAGAACAGCTCTTGGGCAAAAGCCTCTTGCGCAAAAACAGACCCTCATTAATTATGCAAATCAGGCATGGCAATATTCCATGCTTTGCCTCATTTGCATATTTTTTGCACAAAATGGGGGCAGTGTAGACAGCCTGAGAGTATTGCTGGTACGGTATGACTGTATAGGGAGTGAGAAAAATTGCTAATTTGGAAGGATCATTACTGAAGATGGAAGTGTAACCCACACACCTACTGGGTGTGGTTCACTGTCCCATGTAGTGGCACTTAGATCACAAGATAAGAACAAGTGAGCTCTACAGCCAAAGCTGAGCACCAAATGGCTTTATAGCGCAAGTAGGTGGCTCCTACATAAAGCTCCAGAGGTCCAAGGTTCAAATCCCCCTGGTGGCAGTTACAGGTCAGTACCAAACTAGCAAGAGTAAAAGTGACATTGTTGAAAAATAAACATCTGGGCTGCGTCTAGATTGGCATGATTTTCCGCAAATGCTTTTAATGGAAAAGTTTTCCATTAAAAGCATTTTCGGAACAGAGCGTCTAGATTGGCACGGACGCTTTTCCGCAAAAAAAGCCCTGATCACCATTTTCGTGATGGGGGCTTTTTTGCAGAAAACAAATCTGATCTGTGTGGCCCTTTTGCACAAAAGCTTTTCTCAAAAGGGACTTTTGCCCGAATGGGAGCAGAATAGTATTTCCGCAAGAAGCACTGATTTCTTACAGTAGGAAGTCAGTGCTTTTGCGGAAATTCAAGCAGCCAGTGTAGACAGCTGGCAAGTTTTTCCAGAAAAGCGGCTGATTTTCTGGAAAAACTGGCCAGTCTAGACACAGCCCTGGTGAGAAGGGGCATAAATCTGAGGACTAAATTCTTACTCTTAAAACCTTATATTTGGTGTGTATTAAATAAAGGCTGTGAAATATGGACTTTCAAGCAATCAATGTCAAACTACAATCCTTTGAATTATGGTGTCAGAAGAATTCTGAAACTCTCATGGCTTGACCATGTAAATAACAAAACAGTATGGGAGATGACTAAACCTCAGAAAACACTAGTCAGAGATCTCATGAAAAGGAAGATTTGATTTGCAGGGCACATTTTACAGGACTCCATGGGGGTTGCATGTTTTTTAAGCACTGGCAGGGAAAATCGATGGCAGAAGCACCTGAGACAGAAGAAGAAGATTTTGGATGGATGATGGATTATCCTGGGCAGATTAAGGGGACTACTCCATCCACAAGGAGATTAGCAAAGGATGGTACAGAATGGGCTAGCTTAGTTGCAGACTTACTAGCTCCGTGTTTCAGTGCTGAGGTGGGCACTGTTAATGATGGTTACTTTTTTGGCTTTTGGCCACAGAGGTACCGAAATGGAAGGGAGAAAGGATAGCCAGTGAAGGGAAATGCAGGTTTTTACAGCATTCTCCGGATACACTATTGTTACTCAGTCACAGCCTGATGGGCTGGGCCATTGCACTTGACTCTGGCTCACTTCCCCAGTCTAAGACATCGACTTGATGGTCACTCATGTTCCTCTTCTTCATTAGTCCCGCTTTGGCGGGGCAGAGCTGGATGGGCCATTTCAGCCTGTCATGCTGGTGCCCTGCATTGAAGTTGATTCCAGGGTCGTGGGAAAGCCCAGAGTGAGAGACTGAGGACAAGAAGAAGATGGTGGCAATGGAAGAGAACTTGCTAGATACACGTAAGATCTGTTCTATCAGGCAGGGGTCTTCACTTGTCCCGGCAGCCTCCCAGTTGGGTGGGCTGGAGGCCCCCATGCTCAAGGTTCACCAGTGACAGGCAGAGTCTCTGCACAAAGAAGAACTTCACTGACTTTTGCTTTATGGAATCCCCCATTCAATCCCTCCAATGCTTTCTAAAAGATGCCAAGGGGGGGGGAGTGATGGGTGACCCACCCCCTTATTACTTTGTCCAGCACTTAGGTGTAGTATCCTACACACCAGTTTGGGTCCTTTAATTTCTGTTTCCATTCTCCTCTATGTTACCAGTCTCAATTTTAACACAGGCCTCTGATCGAGTCAGTAAAGCGTTTTGCTTGGATTAAACCCATCTTCATGCCCTCTTGTACCTTTCTCTGTAGGCACTTTCAGTTCTAGAGATGATGGTAACATTTGTGTGACCTTTCCCCCACAGTCGGCCAGTTGAGCTCACAATTGAGGGGGGCTTACTAGAGCTGGGTTATTACAACAGCTCCTGCAGCAGCACTTTCAGCGCAGGGAGGAATTTCTGAGAGAGGGATGGAAGATCCTGTCTCATTCCTGGAAATGTGCCAGTAAGAGAAGCAACCCCAGCCTCTTCCTGCTAAAGCCCGAAGGGAAAAGAAGGAAACGTGACCACTGAACTGGGGAAGCCAGGACAGGTTGGTGAAGGAACCTGCACTTACTTCAAGGGTGAAGGCAGAAGAACAGTGGGAGCTTCTCCCATGAGAGTTAGGGAGAGGGGTCCCCTGATACCTTGGAAGAAATTGAAGGGTGAGCAGCAATGAATCCCCAAAATAGCTAGTACCAGGAGTGAGGACTACTCCAGCCCCAAGCCTTTCCCCCACCCCAGACCCTAAGGTGCGAGCCTCAGCTAGCTGCAGCTTTGAAAGAGCTGTGGTCTAGCACAGATCCCAGGCACCTTGCCACATACCAGAAGACATGGGCTGTTGTTGAAATGTGCTGAGGCAGCAGCTTGAATAGCTCCCAAAGAGCAGAAGGGCTGTCTCTCCTTTTTCCTTTCCCATTTCCTACTGTTTGGAGCTGAACTGGTGTAATGGCCAAGACAAGGCAGGGCTGGTGTAGACACAGCGTTCTGGCTGCCTGTCAGGTAGACCTGAGCAGGGTGAGTTAACAGCTCCTCAGTGGATACCATCATCCTTGCCATAGTGCATCATACTGTGGGGAACATCATAGGACTCCCACTTCATCCTAAAGCAGGAGAGGCCAGAGTCCTTGGAACTGTATGCTGGCCTATGGGGCTGTGTTACCACCACCACGCAGATTTGAACCTGGGAACTGTGGAGCTTAGTAGAGAAGCCTCTACAGCATGAATTACAAAGCCAGCTGGCTCTCAGCTTAGACTGTAGAGCTCCCTTGTTCTTTTCTTATCTCTCGCTGTACATGGTCCAAGTGCCACTACATGGGACAGTGAACCACACCCACTAGGTGTGTGGGTTACAGCCACAGAGGCTGTGCTTAGTCAAGCAATACAATCATATCCAGCAGCTTGGAAGGAAGGGGCTATTACTAGGGTGAATACCTCTGTATCTGCTTGAGGTGGAAGCCAACAGATATGCTGCTGTGATTCTTGGCAGGATTCTACATGGCACAAGCCTTTCCTGGCCTTGTGGTTCCCTGCACATGGATAGAGACCCTCCTGCCCCTTCCCCTGCTGGATCACAAGGAGGGTGGTGAAGCACTGGAATGGGTTACCTAGGGAGGTGATGGAATCTCCATCCCTAGAGGTTTTTAAGTCTCGGCTTGACAAAGCCCTGGCTGGGTTGATTTAGTTGAGGTTGGTCCTGTTTTGGGCAGGGGTCTGGACTCAGTAACCTCCCGAGGTCTCTTCCAGCCCTAGGATTCTATGATCGGTCACCTCTGAACCCCTGACAGAACTGGACTCTGGAAAGAGCTGTTCTTGGGATCAAAGCACCGAGCTGGGAGTCAGGCTCTGGCTTCTATTCTCCACCCTGGCACCAACTCCAAACAAGTCACTTCCCCCTCTGGGCTACAGCTCACCCCAGCACTACAGGGTGAAATGGTTCCTTGCTCCTTGTCCAGAAAGTGCCCTCTAGGCATGGGGATTTATTTGAAGGCCTGTCTTGCCCACAGATGTGAGGTGAGGACAGAGATCCAGACTCCAGCATAACTCTCCTGCTCACTTTAATCTGTCCTATGCCAAGTGCTGCTGAAGCCCCTTACTCAGAGCTCTGGTCCAGGGCAAAGGAGTCAGAATCATTCTGGGCCCAATTTCCAGAGATGCTGAGCGCCTGCGGTTCCCCCGATTTCGGTGGGAACTCCATGGTTCTCAGTGCATCTGAAAATTAGTGTCTTTTATTTGGAATGCTGTCCCTAGACTGAGCCTACAAAGGCAGGTCCACATGCAGCCCTCAGTCCACTGTAGCTCTCCTTCCAATATACTACAGGTAGCCAGGACAGTGCTGAGGGCTGGTTAGCCCAAAGGGGTAGGACATGGCTCCGATGTGGTCACTAAACTTCTACTTGGTAAAGTTACTGGTACATCATTGGCTGGAAGTCTTGGGGGCTGCAACCCACCCTGCCTGCCCTGGGCTCAGCTGCATTTAACAGGAGTGGCTCACACACTTGCCATGGTTGTGCACACACAAAAGTAGGCACCCGTATTGTTTGAAAATCTGACTCTGAGGTTGTAATTAGACTGAATAAGTATCGGAGGGGTAGCCCTGCTAGTCTGTATCTGCAAAACAACAAGGAGTCCTGTGACATAAGCTGACAAAGTGCGGTTTTATCCACAGCAGCTTTTGCCCTAACAGATGTATTAGTCTTTAAGGTGCCATGGGTCTCTTTGTTGTTTTTAGATGTAATAGTTACTGCTGCAGTGTGATGCAGGGTGCTGTTCCCCTCTCTCCTAGAGCTGTTGCTCCAAGCTGGCTGCAGATTCAGGCAGCCAAAACTTTGGAAGATTTTCCTTTTAAGGGCTCAAGACTACTGGGGGGGGGGGGGGGGGGGGGGGGGGTCAAATATTTGTGTGCTGCCCCTGTATGCCAGATTAATACCTTCTGTGGGCAGGTGCATAGTTCAGGGCTTTCACACCTCTGGTGTGAGCCCAGAATTAGGTGCCCAAACCTCCTGGCAATGACTCCCTGGGTATAGAATCACAGAATACTAGAACTGGAAGGGACCTTGAGAGGTCATCAAGTCCAGTCCCCTGCCCTCATGGCAGGACCAAGCACCATCTAGATCATCCCTGACAGGTGTCTGTCTAACCTGCTCTTAAATATCTCCAGTGATGGAGATTCCACAACCTCCCTAGACAAGTATTCCACTGCTTAACCACCCTGACAGGCAGTTTTTCCTAAGCTCTCCAACCATGTAGTATCCCTGGGCAAGTCAGTTCCCTGTTCTCTGCCTCAGTTTCCCCAGATTGGGGGTCTATTTACCTGCTCTGCAGGGATGGATGGGGACGAAGCCTTGGAAGGCGGCAAGTGCAGAGGAGGGTTACATTTGTATCCCTGTATCCTCTGGCAGAGCCGTCCGCCGCGCAGGTGGACAGCTGGCCCGGGCCTCGCCCTCCCCTCCCCCTTCCGCCGCATTGCTGTCAGTAGGGCCAGCTGCGGGCAGGCTGATGTCACCCGCTCCGAGCTGCAGCGGGCAGCCTCTGCCGAGCCGCGGCCCGCGGGCAGCTGCTGCCGAGAGCCCGCTGGGGGAGAGGGAAGAGAGCGAGGCAGCACGCCGCGGGCTCGGGGAGGGGGCGGCTCCGGGCGGGCGGGCAGTGATTTGGGGCGCGGGCGGAAGGCGGCAGCGGGGCCGGTGGCTGCAGAAGAAGCCCGCAGAGGTAGGTGCTCGCACTGCAAGCGGCCCGTCCCCCTCCCCCTCCGGGAGCCAGGCCCGGGACGCCTCCGCCCCCTGCCCTGGAGGGGCCGCGGGCAGCTCCCCCCTGCTCCCTGCCATCCCCCGCGCTCCCAACCGGGCGCGCCCTTGCCCTGGCCCCCAGCCGGTGGATGCCCTGTGATCTCTCCCTGGCAGGGAGGGGGGCGGACCCGCTGCGCGCCCCACCCTTCCCCGCCTGCAGACAGCAGGATGTGCCTGGATCCTCCCTCAGCCACCGCGTCTGCTTCCCCTGCCTCCCCCAGCCCCCTAGACTGCCTGAGAGCTCTGGAGGCAGGACCGGCTCTTTGTACAGCGCCTGGCACCAGGGGTCCGGGCTACGCCGGGGGCCTCGCTCTATTGCAATGAGATGAATGGGCGGAACAATCCGTGACCACGAGGCCATTCTGACCCCAGAGGGCTTGTCTGCCTCGGGGTACTGCCCTGAATGGCTATTGCGGAATAAGCGCTTCGGCGCTGCGGACATTCTAGTCCTGGGTTCTGGAAGGGTGACGGCACAAAGCCCCTGCTAGTTCCAGAAGGCAGCGCCTGACTGCAGAATGCTGGCCGCATGGGGCGCTGTTCTGCACCCGCTCCTGTGCCCTAGCCCAGAAGGGGCCCACAGAGCATCAGGCCGAGCCGGGAAGAGGCCTTAAGAAGATGTGACTGTCTGTTGCAGGGACACACTGAGGCCAGCAGCAGCTCTCCAGCTGATTTCCAGGAGAGCAGGCTCTGCAGTTTCCTCAAACTTGTCTTCCTGAAATCTGATCGCCTTGGACTCCGGACTGTAGTATTGCCAAAGCCTCCCTTTGTCCACTAGGTTAAGTCTCTCAAGGTCAGTCTGCCTGCCAGCCACCCAGCACCTGACTCCCTTGGGGGGCTAGAATGGACCTGCTTGCTCCCACTCTGCGGCTGATCCCTCCCAGCTGGCCAGTCTGAGCTCATCTTCTCACTGTTGCTCTGCCCCAAGCAGTGAGGTGGCTTCAGTTGTTGCCCTCACAGGGAGTCAGCCATACCCTCCCAGCCTACTGGTTTTTCACGTTGCATGCCCTGCTTCATGCATGCATTCTCCCTCTGCGTGTGCTGTGTCTCATAGCTGCATTGTGCTTTGGCTTTGTGCAGACTGGTTCCTGCCAGCATGGACGGTGTGCCCCCTGTGCCGAGGACTTGAGTCCATTGGTAGGAGTCCTTTGTGCCACAGGCACCAGCAGGTAACATTCACTGTACAGCTGAGGCCTGACAAGCAGAGAGAAGCCATGGTGAGTCATTCAGTATTTTACAGGGGTTCTCAAGCTGCTTTGCAGAGAGCAGGCTGGTGACCCGCAATGGTGAAGGGGGAGATGGGGAAGTGGAACCACACAACGGCCAGTCCAGTGGGGTAAAGGGAGGTGGGTTTGTGTGACAATCTCTTAGTGTTGATAAGGGCAAAGTAAAGCAGGTTGGAAAACACAGTCCCAACAGCTGCTGGGTGTTTGAATGTTAGAGCGATTTGAGAGTGTCACGCAGCAAGCTCAGATGGGTTTCATTTAATTGAGGTTACATCTGAGATTGATCCAGTGCAGTCCAGAAAGAACAGCTGCTTTGCCACCCCCTGTAGATGGTGAAGAGACAGTAGTTAGGTCCCTTCCTCTGGAGAAGTGCTGACAGTGTCCAGGCCTTATCTGAAGGCCTCCATCCTTCTAGTGTGAGACAAAGAAACTCCTTTTTGGAGGGAAAATTCTGTCTCCCAATTATTTTTACCCTATATTGTTTTCCTCTTTACTAATGGAATTTATTTTGGGAGCCCCAATTTACCTGGTTGATGAGCAAAAAAGAAGCTGTAATCCAATCACTATTACTAACAGCTGTGACTTCTGACAGTGCTTAAAAGATCTGAAAACGTCTTTCAATAGGTCGTTATTTCATTCATTACAGCGTTCATCTGTAAAAACAAGTATCCCTTAGCAGTCACTCTAGTTTTGTTTATAACATCCTTCTGGAGAAACGTTTCTCAGTATAAGGATGGGGGTGTCTCTTCCCTGTTCTAATAAAATCAGGTAAAAAGTAGAGGTAAAGGTTATGCACATCTCATCATTGAGTTCATTGTTCCAGGGGAGGGATCATTCGATGATTCCCTGTTTGGTTCATTCCCTGAGAAGCACCGGACATTGTCCACTGTCAGAAGACAGGATATTGGGCTAGGTCACCAAGCAGTCGATCGCGATTGACTGGTCAATCATGGTGGCAATGCCAGTCGATCTTGACACAGCGTTCCCAATGCTCCCTTGTTCCCCCCCCCCCACCTACAATGAGGAGCCCGAGCTGCCACTACAGCCTCCCACCCTTCACAAAATTGTAGCCAAAGCCAGCTTCTTGTGGCAGGGAGGGGAAAAGTCCTGCTGCTCCATGCCAGATGTGACTTCTCAGGAAGCGTGTCCTGCTCCTCCCCTCCCCACAGCAACGTGCGCACTTTCTTGTGCACCAGGGAGGCGGTGTGTGTGTGTGTGTGTTAAGATGGCAGCAGAGGATCCAGAGCGGCTGGATTTCTTAAAGGAGCTGCACATGCGCTTCTTTCAGTGCTGCCTGCAGATCCTTCCTGAGAGATCCTGATCCCTGGAGACTCCCAGGTACCAGCCGAGCTGCCCTTGCCCCCACTTCCTGGCCAGACACCCACCAGCACCCTGCCCCCTCCCTGCTGGCCAGACACCTACCTCCAGCTTGCTCCTGTACCCTACCTCCCACCCAGATTCTGCACCCGCATCTCTATTCCACACACTGGATCCCTCATTTTTGGCCCCACCCCAGAGCCTAGTGGGGCCCACAAAATCCACTAACCCTGGAACCCCAGAAGAGTTAAGTTGGCCTGAGGCCTTGAACCTCAGTCCTACCTACCCTCCACCTCATGGGGCTGGAGTGCCAGGGGAGTGAGGTGTCTCAGTTGGAGCCACATCAGTGAGGGGTGGGTTTTTCCTGGAGGGGCTGCACTTGCGTGTCCCTGACTGACTTCTCTGTGGGTTAGTGACCCTGACTCAAAACAGGTTCCCCGCCCCTCTCAAAGGTAACGCTGAGACATTGTGTTTGACATAATAGTTTATTTAAAAATGAAGCCTGGCCAACAAGCCCCCAGTTGAGACCAAGCCCCCATCTGGCTGCAGAATCATAACTCTTCTGCACCCCCCACAAACTCCAACCTTGAGCCCATCAGACACCCAACCCCCTGTCTTGAGCCCCTCATATACCCCAATCCAAACTCCTACACCCTGATATCCACATGTCTGTGGCTTACTTAGCACCCCAACCCTCCACCTGACCAAAACACTCTCCAGCCTGAGCCAGCATCTCCTTCTCCACCTCCTCCTGCATCCTGATTCCCTCCCAGGATATGTCTAGACTACATGCCTCCGTCGACGGAGCCATGTAGATGAGTTTACTAGACATAGGAAAATGAAGCGGTGATTTAAATAATCACCGCTTCATTTACATCAAAATGGCCGCCATGCTGTGCCAATCAGCTGTTTGGCGGCACAGCGGGGCAGTCTGGATGCGCCGCGGTCGACAAGGGAAGCCTTTGTCGACTGCTCCGTTATGCCTTGTGAAATGACGTTTACTGGAGCGGTCGACAAAGGCTTCCCTTGTCAACCGCGGCGCATCCAGACTGCCCCGCTGTGCCGCCAAACAGCTGATCAGCAGCCATTTTGATGTAAATGAAGCGGCATTTATTTAAATCGCCGCTTCATTTTCCTATGTCTAGTAAACTCATCTACGTGGCTCCGCCGATGGAGCCATGTAGTCTAGACACACCCCCAGAGCTTGCACCTCTCATCCCTTCCCATAGCCAAATCCCTCATTCCCCCCCCAGAGCCCGCCCCTCCTGTCTCAACCCAGTGAGAGTGGGTAAGGGATGGGGACAGCAAGTGATGGAGAGGAGGGGAATGGAGAGGACAGGGCCTCAAGGAAGGGTGGGGTCTTGGGGAAGGGATGGGGTAGATCTTAGCTTGCCCTGACATTAAAAAGTGATCTTGGGTGTAAAAAGGTTGGAGAACACTGGGTTAGATGGAACATTGGTCTGACCCAACATGGTCATTCTTATGTTTTTTGCCCATTGTTTCCAATTAAAGGACAAAGAACTTTTTCGTTTCCATGTATACATAGGGTAATACACAAAATAAACAGGTTTGTAGTGAGCAATGAAAGAGTGGTGAGAGATTAACATACAGACTTCAGAAAAGGTTAATATCTACTAGCACAGCTATAGATACTAGATGGACTGTTTCCACTGGGGCTAGCTGGGGTTGGTCCTGTTTTCAGCAGGGGGTTGGACTCAATGACCTCCTGAGGTGTCTTCCAGCTCTATGATTCTATGATTCCTGCTCTTTGCTGCCTCTTCCCTCCAGATCCTGCTCCCACTTACTCCTCTCTGCCCCCTCACTGACTCTTATGACAGGTAACAGGTGGGACGGGCATGTCCCCCCGCCCAGCCTCTCTTGTTCCAGGACCCCTGAGTTAAGAACTCCTTCCTGGGCACCAGAGAGAGAGGTCTTGGCAGTCCCATCAGTGGTCCTGAGGTGTGATTGTCCTTGGATTTCAGCCATCCCTGGTGGCAGCCATTATTGCCTTTCAGCAGAGCCATAACCACCATTCCCTGCCTGGCTCTGGATCCTGCGCACATGCAGCTCTCGTCTCTGTGAGGCCTGGGTGCTTGGCCCTTTTGCCAGGAGCTCACCTGTCCCCAAGGGATGCAATCCTGCCCTGGTCAAATTCCATGGGAGCTTTGGCATTGAGGTCAGTGGGTCAGGGGTCTCATCCATGGATCCAAAGGTGAAAATGGTTCCCCTTGGTTATTTTCTCAGGGTGAGCCCCAGGGATCACATCTCTGGCTGGCTGGCTGGGATCCCAGCCTGAGGCAGTTTACTCCCCGTTAGCCCCCTGCCCCTTGCTGTCGGTCCTCTCTGCACTCCCCCGACTTTGCCAGTCATCCCTCTGCCTTCTTCTTGGTCATTTGTTTAGAAGATCCTCTTCCTCATTCCCTCAAACCTCTGCCAGCTCAGGTGCCCAGCCCTTGTTTGCTGGGAACGGGGCCGTTCTTCTCAGCCCAGGGGCTCCCGGGTGGAGCTGGGCCCGCTCTGACTCCCCGACGTGCCTTGTCCCGCGCAGGCCGACGCCTCAGAGAACACGAGGAGGAGCAGGCGATCTAGCTCACTGAAGCGCAGGTTCCTCTGGAAGCTCCGCCAGAAATGGAAGCTCCTTGGCCTCTTTGAGATCGACAGGGAGCACGAGTTTTATGGCCTCACCTGCATGCTGAAGGTGGGGCTCAGGGCTGCCATCCAGGAGGCCATTGACAACCCACCTACGGTGAGTATCTCCCAGGGACGGGCTCCTTCACCGCCCAGCTGCCTGTCCCTACAATGAGACTCTTCCACAGCCTTCTCCTCCCCCAGGGGGCTACCCTGGGTGCGCTGCTGTGGCAAGAGTGTGTGGCCTCCAGTGCACTCCCACCCTGATCCTGCTCTCCTCCCACCTGTCTCCCCCAGTCGAGGACCCCCAGTGCTTTGCATCCCCATGGCACCGCGGGGGAAGGGCTATACCAAGGCTGGTGGCTCTGCCCAGCGAGCAGCCCGGTGCAGCTCTGCACAGGTGATCTGAGCAAACTCCTGACGGACACCTACCAAAAGGCCTCTCCTCTGCTGGGGGGAGAAAGGGCTGCCCAGTGGGGGTCTCCCTGCCCCTGCCCCCAGGGCTGGGAGTAGCTAGGGGTCTGTGTCTTGCACACACCAGCTGAAGTGCAGGGTTGGTCCCCATCCCAGCCCCTGCAGCATTCCCAAGACCTCAGAGCTCACTGGATGTTGTGAGGCCTGACATTAATGGAACCCCATTAACGTCGCTGCCCATGCAGACCAGAGCGACTGAGGTGGGACCCCCCCCCCCCCCACGTTAACAGGGCGGGCACAGCTGCAGAGAGGGCCTTCAGTGAAAGGCCTGAATCATCATAAGAAACCTGCCAGACTTGGGGCTGTAAGAAGCGTTGCCCTTTGTAAATTGAGTGCTCTGCGCCAGAGGGTCGAGATCCTGCAATGAAGGGAACCAGAGACGCGTGAGGCCGGTAGATGGGGGGGGGGCTACCACCACTGAGGACATCCTGACCCCCTGTGGCAGGGTGGTGACAGCTGGCCAGCAGTGGGGAAAGGGGGTTCAAAAGGAAGGCCCCCCTGTCTGTCAGTTCTCACCACAGCAGTGGTTTAGAGCAGAGGAAATGAGGGGGAGAGATGGGGCAGGCCAAGGGCAGGGTTGAGTGCAGAGGCTGGCGTAGTCCCTCTTGTCGCCGCTGTCCTCGCACTCCCAGGCCGATTTCCCTCCAGCTCGTTTCACGTTTGCATTCTAGCTGTGTAGGCGGGACCATTGGGGAGGCTGGTGAAGCAGCGAATGTGAATGGGGAGAAGTCCCCTTGTGGAGCACTCACTCTCTGTCTCTCTCCTCGCCAGGAAGCCCTGTGCGAGGCAGACTGCAAGGCTGTGCTGAAGCAGGCCCATGAGGTAGGAGCTCACCCCAGCAGGGAGAAAGCACAGGCCCCGTTCACTCAGACCGGCCTAGCACAGGATTCCTGAGCCACTCCTCTCCCTCCACAGGGGTGGGCAATAAGTGGCTCGCGGGCCACACGTGGTTCACCTGGGTTAGCCCTTGGAAGGCCACCAGATGCTTTATTTAGCTGAGTGCCTGCAGGTCTGGCTGCTTGCAGCTCCCATTGGCTGGGAAGGGTGAACTGCGGCCCACAGGAGCTGCAAGCAGCTGAACATGCAGACAGGCAGGTAAATAAAATATCTGGCGGCCCCTGGCAAACAGCGTCCAGCCTCTGGTTCGCTTATTGTCCACCCCTGCCGTGCACGCGAGCCACACACCTAACCATCCATCTATCCCCAGGTCCCTCAGAGCCGCAAACACCTCCCTCCTCTTTTCTACTGCAGCCACCCCACATGCACCTATACGTCCCGCCCCATAGCCGTCCCTAGCCACACCTTCCCATATCCGTGCATCAGTGAGGCACACACATACCCCCGCCGCCAGTCAGCTGTGCTGTTTCCTGGCCCAGACGGAGCCATGTCTGCATTCAGTAGCCTCAAGAGAGATCTGAGATGCTCTTGCCAGTCCCAGCTCCCCGCCAGCCTTGTGGAGCAGCAGAGGAGAGTCCTTCCCCCGCCTCTCAGCTGACTAGGGAAGGTGGGGTGAAAGTGCTTGGCAGCCTGGCGTGTGCCCCAAGTAGCACGGTGTGGTTGAACCTGGTTTTGCCTCGGGTCGCTGCAGGGCTTTGAGATGCGTACGTACGGTGGCCCAGCCTTCGCTCACTTCAGGCACTCGCTGGGCATGTCGGAGAAGGAATACCAGCAGTCCCTGTCCTCCCGCAGCTTCTATCTGCAGTTCATCAGCAACTCCAAGAGCAAGGCTGACTTCTTCCTGACGTGAGTCTTCCCTCGGCTGCAGAGCCCTGCCTGCCCTCTCTGAGAGCTCAGTGGTCTCGGTCAGCGGTTTTCAACCTTCTTTCATTTGTGGACCCCTCCAAAATTTTGAATGGAGATGCAGACCTCTTTGGAAATCACAGATGGAGTCTGCAGACTCCAGGTTGAAATTTAACCTCAGGCACTCCTGCCAAAAGCCCACTGACCACATGGCGACAGGAGAACGTTGCAAGGCAGAATTCGGCCCAGAAATCTATTAGTGCTGTGCCCTTCAGAACTGACTGCCTAGGCAAACCATCAATCAAGCAGATAATTCACTACTGACTAGAAAGATCTGTAGTGATTAGAGATCCCCCCGTAGCTGACCTGTGTAGTAGCAACCAGCACCAAATACGCTGCCTCTATTGTAAAGTGGGGCATTGGGTGACCCCTTTGTGGCTTGTGTGTGCACATCCCCTGCTGTGTGCCCTTGGCAGTAGCAGGAGGGAGAGAAGCTGGATTTGTGTTTTGGGAGACTTGCAGAGATACCCACTAGGTTAGGGTGTGTAGGTGTGTGCTGCATTTGGGCCTGACCTAGTGGATATGTCAGACCGTGTGGGTAGTGTCATGGGCTTGGGGAGAGGAAGCTACCCATGTGTTAGGTGGGGATCTGTCTCGTGTTTGGTCTCCTGGGGCGAGGTGGTTTCCGTGTGGGACTGGGAGCCTTGCTGGGTGTTGTTTCTCTCCAGTCTCTGAGGATGGGACCCAGGGTGTGGGCATGTCTGAATTATTGGAGGTGTCTGATATTCCCTAGCAAAGGGCAATATCTCCTAGCACCACTCAGGAATCCAGAGGCTGAGCAGGCCTTTGCAGCTCCTGCCCAGCAGTGCCCAGAGAAGGGAGACACGTCCCATGTATGTCTTCGTGGCCAAAATCAGCATGTCCATTATCACGGCTGTGGGGGCGGGGTGAGGGGCATACATACCGAGTGCAGGTGACACGTGTGTCCCATGCGTGCCCGAGGCTGAGTGTATGAGAACATGCCTGGGGAGCTGGGTGTATCTTGGAATCTGACTGGTTCTGATCTGGAGGAGAGGACGTCTTCCCCCATCCCCATTAACAGCCTGGGCTAACGCTCAGCCTCCTCATGCCGTAGGAACAACAAATGCTTCTTCCTGAAGACACAGAGTAAGAGAGAGATCCGGTTCCTCCTCTCCAACCTGCCCAAGTACATCCAGCACCTTGAGAAATACCCCCACTCCCTCCTCGTCAAGTTCCTGGGTAAGCCACCTCTGACATGCTGGGGGGGAAGGCTGAGGCTCCGTAACCCCAGGGGGAACAGTCCAGCCTGGGACGGTACCTCACAGAGAGGGACATGGCACTGGGGAGGATCTTGGGGGGCCTTCCGAGGCGGAACATGACCTCACCCGTCCCCTGGGATATTGCATGAGCCAAGTTCCCATTCAGGGGAGCATGGACCAGAGGCCAAGGCTGCCTAGTGAGGATCTAACAGGCTTGGGCTGGCCAGTGTATTGGGCCAAACTGCTAGGGGCTCTGGGCTCCAGCCTGGGGAGGGCCCTCATCTCCAGCAGATGGCTAGTCCCTGCTCTTAGCCATGCTGGCCTGGTGTCCCCCTTGTGGCCATACCTGGGTAGTGCCTGTCTGGCTACAACGGTGCTTAAGGTTGCAGGGCCATTGTATCCTGGGCACAGTACACAGCATCTCTGCTGGTTAGTGGGGGCCAGACTGCTGATCTCGGTCTGTGTTCTCTGAGCTTTCCCCTTGTCTCCTCCCTTCCAGGGGTTCACAGCATCATCGTGGCCCAAGAGAAGAAGGTAGGTTCCACCTGCCTGTCAAAGTCCATGTCCTGTGCCACCAGGGCATCTTTGGTGCAGCCAGCTCCATGTGTGTGATGGCTTCTGTCTCTTCTGCTCTCTCTTCTAGAAATACTTCATCATCATGCAGAGCGTGTTCTACCCCGAAGAGCGGATCCTCCAGCGGTGAGTGCCAGGCCTAGGCAGCAACAGGTTTCGCAGCCTGAGATCAGAGGGATTTCTACAGCCATTTCCTCCCCAGAACAGCGCCCTGCCTTTGCCGGCTGCCCTTCTGCAACTTGAGTGTCCCCTCTGCCCCCCGAGCAGAGCTACTCCCACGTGTGCCATGCTGCAGCCTTGTGTCCACACACCCTGGGAGTGCACAAGCAGCACCAATACAATGTCACCCTCTGGGAGTGGCATTCTGCAAAGGAGAGGAACCTACTTCCTGGGAAAATAACTGAGCATTACTAAGTCCCGGGGCGTAACCCCTTTGCACCCTTAGGCTGTGCAGCCCCAGGAGAGGCGTCACCTGTCCTAATTGCCATGTGTAGGTACGATATTAAAGGGTGCCAGGTGAATCGCTGGACGGAACCTCCCTCCGAGGGCAGCCACGTCATCGTGGTGCTGAAGGATCTCAACTTCGAAGGAAATTCCATCCACCTAGGTGAGTGCATCCCTGGTCAAGCTCTGGTGAGGCAGGGCGACCCCCTAAGAACCCACCCAGCCATCTGCATTCAACCCACTCTTCTGCATCTGTCTATAGCCCTCTATCTCACCCAGCAGAGCTAAACCTCCTCACCGCATAGGACCGCATCTGGAAGGCTGGGAATTACCTTAGGGTGGTGGGAGATAGAGAGACTGAGGAGAGAGAGGGACCCAGCTTAGCGCTGGAGAAAGATGCAAGATCCCCTCCCCCAGCCATCTTGCCAAAGTGCCTCAGAGCTGGCCTGAAGGCAGCCACCTCTAGGGACAGCAGGTAATTCAGTCTGTGTCTTGAGTCACTCCAGGCCCCGCTGCTGAGGCCACTATCATGGGAAGCCTGTTTGTGTTGCAAGCTGGTTTTCTGACAAGTAGGAAGGGGATGGAACTTCCTGTCAAAACAGCCCCTTGAATTGTTGAGACGGGGTGGTTTAAGGCTGGCATTCCTAGAGTTGCCAACTCTGACTCAAGCTATTCTGGGAAGATACGACTAGACTGCGGGGCAGTTTTGGGACACTGGAGGTATCCTGAAAAAAACTCTGCCTCATCCAGAAAATACATTTGCTCTTCCGCTTTTTTTTTTCAGAAGCCCCTGTATTTCTCGTTCCACAAGGAAGAATGGGGCTTTCGAAAGAGAGGTTTTTTTCCGAAATTTGGCTCAGTCTAGATGGGCCAAAATTTGGAAAAGCCTCTTCCAACAAAAGTATTGGAAAAAGATATGCAAAATGTGGAGCGCTGTATCTTTTTCCAATAGATTCTCGCAGTCTAGCTGTACCCAGAGATTTTTTTCCCACCAATGTGACATTCTCTCATTTTCTTAAAACAAGAACATAAGAAAGGCCATGCTGGGGTCAAACCAAAGGTCCGTCTAACCCACTATCCTGTCTTTTGATTTTGGTCAATGCCGGGTGCCTCAGAAGGAATGAACAGAACAGGGAATCATCAAGTGACCCACCTCTGGATACCCACTCCTAGCTTCTGACAAGCAGAGGCTTGAGACACCATTCCTGCCCATCCTGACTAATAGCCATTGATGGACCTACCCTCCATGAATGTATCTAGCCTTTTTTGAACCCTATTACAGTCTTGCCTTCACAACATCCTCTGACAAGGAGTTCCACAGATTGATTGTGCATCGTGTGAAAAAAAATGCTTCCATGTTTTTGTTTTAAACCTGCTGCCTATTAATTTCATTCAGTGACCCCTAGTTCTTGTGTTATGGGAACAAGTAAATAATTTTTCCTTATTTACTTACTTACTTATTTACTCTCTCCACACTAGTCATAATTTTATAGACCTCTAGCATATCCCCTCTTAGTCATCTCATATACCTCTAATAATTTTTGTTGTCCTTTTCTGAACTTTTTCCAGTGCCAAGATATCTTTTTTGAGATAAGGTGACCACATCTGCATGCAGTATTCAAGATATTCTGTCTTATTCTCTAACCCTTTTTTTAATGATTCCTAATATTCTGTTTGCTTTTCTGACTTGCACACCGAGTGGATGTTTTCAGAGAACTATCCACAATGACTCCAAGATCTCTCTCTTGAGAAGCTGTAGCCAAATTAGTCCCCATCGTTTTACACATATAGTTGGAATTATGTTTTCCAATATGCATTACTTTGCATATATCAACATTAACATTCATCTACCATTTTGTTGCCAGGTCACTTGGTTCTGTGAGGTCCTTTTGAAGCTCTTCACAGTCTGCTTTGGACTTAACTGCCATGAGCAATTTGGTATCATCTGCAAATTTTGCCTCCTCACTTTTTACCCCTTTCTCCCGACCATTTATAAATACTAGCATTACCCGTCCCACTGCAACGGTAGACTTACACGTGGCCTCCTCCATCCCCGCTGCTCCGGGGATGCTGGGACGTGCGTGGGCTCTTCCCCTCCCCGTGGTGGTGGTGGGGGCGGAGGCGTTCTTGAGGCAGTCCTCCTTCTCCCCTCCCCGTAGTGGGGCGAGACCTCAGCAGAGGGGCAGGGCTGTAGGTGGGGCTGGGGGCTGCCTCCCCCTAGAAATGTTTCAAATTTTTTCAAATGTTCTCTGTGACAGATGGCGTGATGGACGCCTCTCCTTTTATAATAGTATAGATATTGAATAGCGTTGGTCTCAGTGCGGACCTCTGCAGGACACCACAAGTTACCTCTCTCCATTCTGAAAACTATTTATTCCTACCCTTTGTTTCCTGTCTTTTAACCAGTTAGTAATCCATGAGAGGATCTTCTCTCTTATCCCATGACAGATTATTTTGCTTAAGAGCCTTTGGTGTGGGACCTTGTCAAAAGCTTTCTGGAAATCTAAGTACACTCTATCCACTGGATCCCCCTTATCCACATGTTTGTTGACCCCCTCAAAGAACTCTAGTAGATTAGTAAGGCACAATTTCCCCTTACAGAAACAGAAACCATGTTGAGTTTTCCCCAACAAACTATGTTCATCTATGTGTCTGTTCTTTTCTATTGTTTCAACCAGTTTGCTCAGTACTGAAGTTAGACTTCCTGGCCTGTAATCATCTCTAGAGCCCTTTTGGCGTCATGTTAGCTATCCTCCAGTCATTAGGTACAAATGGTGATTTAAAGCAGGGGTGGGGAAACTCTGGTGTGGGGGCCAGATTAGGCCCCTGGCTTGCCTGGATCTGGCCCTCCAAGACTCAGGGCCGCCCCAGGATTGGGGAGTCCATGGACTCTGCCAGGAGATGCTGGAAAGGCCCAAACTATAACAGGGTTCCAGTAAGAACAAACTAAGTTTGAGGAGGTTAGGTCCATCAATGTCTACTAGCCAGAATGGGCAGGGATGGTGTCCCAAAGGAAGGATGTACATTAACATTTTAAGACTAACCAGTGTCCCTTAATGATAGAAATGTAGCCATGTTAGTCTGGTGTAGCTGAAACAAAATACAGGACTATGTAGCACTTTAAAGACTAACAAGATGGTTTATTAGATGATGAGCTTTCGTGGGCCAGACCCACTTCCTCAGATCAAGTACTGGAAGAAAATAGTCACAGCCATATATACCAAAGGATACAATTAAAAAAAAGAACACATGAAAAGGACAAATCAAATTTCAGAACAGAAGGGGGATACGGGGAGGGGGGAAGGTAAATATCTGTGAGCTAATGGTAGAGACAGGAGAATTGGCTCAGCTGCAGATTGGGCCCCGAATCCATTACAAGATGAGGATCCCCGGCCATAACCTCCCCATTCATTACTCCCCAGAACTAGCAGCCTCCTCTGCCTCTGCACTGCTCTCACTCATTCCCCCGTGACCTTTGCTGTCACTTGATTTCGCTCTCCCCTCTCTGTCTCCTTCCACTTCTGCTGCCTGGCTGCACCCATCTCTTCTTCACAAGCAGCTTTTTCCCCTCCAGCTGCAGCTTCTTCTCCTCCTGATCCCGCTGCATTAGAACTGGGGGCCCTGCCCACTGCTCTGTTCCCTTGGGCCTTTTCAGAATGCTGCCCTGCCCTCTCTCATGCTGTCTTTGCTTATGTCCCATCCTAGCTCAGACCCCCCCGGCCTGCCACTGGGTCTGTCAGCCTCTGCTCTCTCCTGCAGGCCAGCAGCGCTCCTGGCTCATCCGCCAGATGCAGCTGGACACGCAGTTCCTGGAGGAGCTGAACGTGCTGGATTACAGCCTGCTGGTGGCGTTTCAGCCCCTTCATGCAGACGAAAAGAGCCTGAACCTGTCCTTCACGGACATGGTCTTCAGGACCACCAGGTGAGTGCAGAGGGAACACGCTGCCTCTTTCTCAGCCAGCCCTCTGCTCCTCCTGCAGCTCTGGCTGAATGGGGGCAAGCAGGAGACACTGCTAGCTCTGCCTCCCATCACCACGCCGTGTGGGGTGAGCCTGCCTGAAGCCCTGCATCTCTGAGGGGCAGAAAGCCTCGGGGTCGCAGGCCCTAATTCTCAGTCACAGCATTCCTCCTCTGTGGCCAAACTGGAGGGCAAGGCACAGGGGATGCGAAGCTCCTGGTGTGAGGCACAGTAGCCTCAGAAGGGCTGCTCTACCTTGCTCTCTTTCCCGCTGATGTTTACGAGCCATAGGAAGCAGAGAGTCCCCAGCCATGCCCTTCCCTTCTGCATGCCCTGCCTCTGGCCTGCTCATAATCTCCTGCACCCACTGGGAGCAGCCTAGCCCAGAGCCCTTACCCTAGCTACATGCTCTCCTTCCCCTGGGGCAGGGTCTCA